ATTTTTAAGGGCCACATATACCATACTGGCTAAGCCGATAAAAAGTCTTGAATTGCATTATCCCATGATCCAGTTTTTAATAATAAGTTATTAATCTAACAGATAAAACGAGGGGAGAGAAGAATTACAAGCCTCCTGGCTCACCATTAAATAAAGCTCATTCCAGCTTCAATATAAAACAAACAGAAGATTTCAAGTGACTTAAGCAGTACAAAAGTCATGTAATTGCAGGACTCAACAGTAACTGTATAATAATTGTAGCCACAACTGGCCACAGACTAGTGTAAATTTAGTTTTGCCTAGTGGTTTTCAGATTCCAATAGCCAGCCTGCTAGTTTGGCTCGTAAACTGAAATTGTGGTAACATCTAAGTTGTCACCAGTCACTTGCATACTGATCAGATACTTTTTGATAGTAGGTATCCATGCTGCAGGAATTTCAATTTCTGTATCTCTATACTCAGATGTTTTAGCTTTGCATATAAGTTGAACAGGTCAAGTTAATATTTATTTTACAACCCTTCGCCAGAAGCGTGAGTGTTCTGCTATAAAATTCAACATGTTTTCAAGTTAACAAAGCTAATGAGATGAAATGAAAATTAGAGTATGTTGTTTGATTCAATACCAAATTTTCAAGGCTACAGAGTGTAAAAATAACATAACTTACAATGTATAGCACACACAAAGTGGTAGACTGATATTTTGATCTTGAAAGTACAGTGTACAATGGCTATCTGATTAAATCAATCAGAAATATAAAACTATGTAAAAAAAAATAGGGCCGGTTTTTTTTGGACAAAATTTAAGCTTTCTTTAATAAGACTGAATTCTAAACTATCTTGAATTTGGCTAAATATTTTACCTCAATGTTTATTTGTGTGGGCAGTGTACAGAGGACTGAAAGCTAGCACTGGAATAAGATATTAATGTTAAAGGAAAACAACCTGCCAATAGAAAATAGTACGTGACTGGGTAAAATTAACATGATTAAATTTCTTAAATCCACTTACCAGGAGACAACATTTATGCCAGCTCCTTCCCTGGAAAGTTTAAGTGAGATGTGTCTTTGTATTGCCTTCTTTAAGTCATGCACTGTTGCATTTTGGATGACAACTACAGCTGAAGGTATTTTAAAAAATGCAGAACAGTATATGTACACACTGCATATAACTATAACACCATCAAATAAATAACATTCTGGGCTCAGGTGTTCAAAGAGTGATTAGTGCTAACCCAGGGTTAAATTTTAATCCAGGTTTCTATATTTCTCTATTCAAAAGCTGTTTTAGGATAAATTTCCCAATTCTTTTTAGAGCATTCAGTCATCAAATTATTTTAAAGCACTCGGATCTGTGATTAAATTTCACACTAACCCTGGGTTTTCTNGGGTTATCGTGTCAACTTCATATGCTATTGTATATCGATTGAAAGCTCTCGACGACCAGTTAAATTTTTCATGGTAAGTCTAATATATAATAATATTTTCCTAATTAATATTAGTTTATCTTGATATTATGCTATTTCTCTATCAATAGTTAACAGTCGTTCCACGATTAAAAATTCTACGTTAGAAAACATTTGAGGTTCTTCTTACATAGCAAAGTGCCTTGTTCATCTTGCTGACGAACGTTTACAACAATAGCGCGGCCATGTTCCAGTGCAATCTACGAGTTGAACACTTCATCGAGCGTTGGTTCATTTGGCAATCCAATAAGCAATGTACCTCCCATTATATTTCCTATTTTTTCAGTGAAGAGAGCCATCACTTCTGGATGCGATGGATCAATCTTTTTCTCCAATTCTTCCAGACTCCCTTCGTCCGCCATATTGATTTGAGATTCATTCCCAGGTTTTCTCGAGGTTCCAATCAGAAAAGTTGCCTGCCTCTTTAATTTTTGCCACGATTAGATTACGGCCAACATCTTATTTACACTCGCAGATAACGTAGATTGGATAATGATCTAAAATGGAGAACAACTTAAGATTAGTATTCTGTAGTCTTTTCCTTTTCCTTTTATGAGGGTATGCCTCTGGAGCCGAAAAGAAGAAGGATCTAGAGACGATTGTTGAGGCACGTGAACCTCGGACAAACTACTTGCATGGGCTTAAAATTAATGACAGGTAATATTTCTTTGAGATCACGCCAATTTCTGAAATTTGATGAGTTTTGACCCGAGGTTGGATTTCATCTTGTCTTCGAAAAAAAAATGATTACCTATACAGGGTCTGTAAAGTTGGTATTATTTGTGGGAAAATTCAAGGAATTTGTTGCGATTACCTGCTTTTGCGTGTAATAATTTGGTATGCAGTCGAGAAATTACTACTCTAAATTAAAGCTTAAGTTATTAAACGAGGCATGCATAGGGGAGGACTCTGATGAATTTTAAAGCAAAATATGTTATGGCGAAAATCAATCGATATAGGTTTGGTTAGCCAAAAGTGGTTGAGGCTATTAAGTTTTTTTTTGAAATATCGATGACTGTATTGAGTTGTAATTTAGATTGTGTTTTCAGTTATTTCTGCGGTGATATGAACGAGCTAGATTAATCCTTCGCGGGCCAAAGGCTCTGAAATATCACGCGATCTCTCTTCTTTTTTCTTTTTT